ATATCCTAAGGGTAGGGAAAGTGGAATGAGAACAATCTACCATTGTGGATTGAATAAATTGTTCAGTTTAGAATTCCAAGAGGGTTACTAAAGAAGTACAAAGATAGATACCTGAAGAAGGCTTGAAGATAAAAGACCGAAACGCCGTGAGTAAAACAACCAAAATGTAAATGTAAGTAGTAAGTCTGAATAGCAAAGCATACGCCAAATAAAGATTCTATTTTATCACAAAAGAAACAATTTTTTCTCTTTTGTTGGTTGCGCGATTGTGGCTCTTCAATGTGAAGTAATGTCAGCAAATCGGTCTCGCAGATTATAACCACTGTTTGATCTGAAATGGGTCCCAACACACACACGAAATAGAAAAACCGTCAATGACATTAGGTAGTATACTGAGGGGAAATAATCCTGTACCACAAATTATAAAATTTGCATGCATTCTCCAAGCCAAAAAAATTGATTACCTCCCTTGGAGCTTCTGGCGACAAAGTTTGTCACTCACACTCACTCACTCACACACACACACACACACACACACACACACACACACACACACACACACATGATAAAAAATATAGTTTGAAGGTATGCTATATTTATGGATAAAAGTCCTCAATATCAGAGATAGAGCGTATGTAAATATAAACGTGGACACTGCTGTCAACAAGTGGTAACAGTCTGTTTTATGCTTAAACATAATCTTTGGGTGATGAACATTGTAATCACTAAAAATAACATTTGAAGTAGATATCTCCAAAAATTTGCTAAAAATGAAAACAGTTTTTATCGTCAAAATATAATTAAGACAAGATGATTTTTTGATTATTTTATCAAGCTGGATAGTCTGTTTTGTGCTTCAATGGAATCTTCAAACTATGTCAAGCCAAAATATCACATACATGGTCTGAAGATTGTGTTGAGGCATGAAACAGATTGTCACCACTTGCTACTGACCTCAGTAAACTTTTATATATATATATATATATATATATATATATATATATATATATATAGATAGATAGATAGATAGATAGATAGTGGGGAAAAATAAGTATTCTATACAGGCAACAAAAATAAGTTTATTGCATTGTTTATGTAGGGTAAGTATTTATCTCAAAATTATGCCATATATAAGTTTCCTTTTTACAATAATAAATGTGAGAAGAAATTTCAACCGATACATTAATATAAAATTATATATGATATATTTAAAAAAGACTGAGCAAAAAGTATTTAATACCCATTTATAAAAGGAGTAAACCAATGGAAGATGTAAATTTCTAGTTGTTTTTTTAAAAAAAAAAAAAAAAACAGCTGTAGGTTATTCCAGAATATTTGAGGTACTAGTGTTGGCTATTCTATAATATTTCAGGTACTAGTGAATATTTTGAAGATGATGGTACAGTGTATCAGTTGACTGCTAATCATTATCATAACAGTATCAACCATAATGTCAAAAATTAAGGAAAATTCAACAGACCTAATTTTTACTGTAAAGGTAATGGTTGCAGAGATATCAGTACACGAAAACATAATTCATGCTCCACAGGTTTGATAGTTTGCAGGGGGGAGGGACATAGCTTGACAAAGAATTGTTTTGAATCTGATGCCCCTTGAAAGATTTCCAACCAAGCTGCAAACAAGATTGTAGGAATTATAAAGAAGCAGCAAAGGATTACTCACAAAGATTTGAGGGATCAACTAACATTAGGGACATTTATATCATAAGTTGTTAGCAATACTCACTGCCAAGAAGACTTCTTATTTTGTAAAGTATGAAAAATACTGCTTCTGAAGAATCATAACTGGCGGCACATTTAAAGTTTTCTAAGATATATTTCTTTAAGGAAAATATTTATGAAAATAATATTTTTTGGTTGGATGATACCAAGATGGAATTATGTCGCCTCAATTCACATCATCATGCCTGGACAAAGCAGAATAAAGAATTCATGCCAAAGAACACCATTCTAACTGTGATGCCCAGAAGTGGCAATGTAAGAGTATGCTATTGTATTTTTTTCTTATATGGTATAGAACAACTTCACATAATCAAAGGAAAAATGAATGGAGCCTTGCAGCAAAATATATTGACTAAGAAACTCCTTATATCAGTCAAAGTTTTAAAAATAAAGTGCAATTGGGTGTTTCAGCAGAACAATCCTGAAAAATTCACCAATGTGTCCAAACAGAGAGTTGAAAATCAGAACACTGAAAAGTTGTGACAGTTTATTTTATATATACCTGCTTCAGAATTATTTTTGGTGGAAAAACATTGATTAGAGATTAATTAGTACATTTTTTGGATTTTACATGGAGGAAAAAGAATTTTTTTTTCTTTTTGTAGATGCATTTTTAATAAATTTAGGCATTTCTTTATAGGAACATTTGTATATAACAATAATAATTCTGAAGCTGGTACTGTTCTTTATAAATTATTGCAGAAATTAAAAAAATGTATTTATGAACACAAAAAGGATTTTATACATAATAATTTATCAAATTCATTAGTCATACATAGAAATAACTCAATCACAACTTCAACCTAAAGAATACCACACTTATTAAAAGAGAAAATCACTTACTTAGACAGGAAGTTTTTCAGAGTGCTGCTATCAAGTCTTGCCAAAATTTTAATGTGTCCCAGGTTTTAGAAAATACTCCTTTCCCAAGACAGCATACATAATCATAAAATTTTTTTAAAAAATTAAGAGGAAATGCTTACATAAAAAAACATTTTTATTTAAAATAAATCAATATATAAATAATTTATCAAATTAAAATCAAATAATAAATAATAATTACATTAATATAATAAAACAGTAAATAAATATATATAAGAAATAAAAAAATATTAAACAACATTTACTCATTTTTGTTTATTAGACTTAAATCACATCACTTAGCATCCTCTATAGTTTACTTTTACTTTAACATTACAATATTTTTGAGCATTCTTAAATTTAAAAATTTTGAAAACCTAACCATATTTTTTACATGTGTTTATAAATACAACTTGAAAAATAAAATCCTTACATTTACCTTCATAAAGTCCAACAGAGGATGAAACACAGTGGTAAAGAAAAAATTTCCTTTTGATTTTATTCATATGTATATTGCCTATAACTTTAAAAAGAATCAAATATGTTTTAAGCTTTGCATGAATAACAGAATTCCTTCATGGTTTTGATGTTTATACCAAGTTCTGGCTTTTCTATACTACCATCTTCTTCAGGTGTGTAATTCATAAGGAAGGTGAAGGGCACCTTTTTATAAGAAAATTGGTGAATGCATTTTAACAGTATTTCATTTTCAATACATTTTCATAGCAAAATCATTTGCAATAATTTTTCATAGTAAATATATTTCAGTGCATTGTCATTGTAAAATTCCCGGCAATACATTTTTATAGTCAGTAGAGTTTCTATTAAATATTTTAGGTGCAAATACCTACATACAGCATTTAGAAGAATATCTATTTAGATAATGATAAAATTTTACGCACACTGTGAATAACTGAAATATTAATGAAATCAGCTTCCCTTGCTCGCAAAGAGTCATTCCACTCATATCCTTTGTATCAGCAATACAAAGAATTTTATCTTAACAATTCTGGTCTTCTTTTCTTTTTGCCTCACTGGTGGTACTTCATTTCTAGAAGCTATCATTCTCTATTCCAAATGCTTTTTAAGTATCTTTATGAAATTTTGTTTCATCTATGAAGAGACTGTTCAGCATTCACTGGCAGAGAGGATATTAGATATTAAATAACAATTCAGCACTCTTTTCCTAAGACTTTTCTTAGTTTCTGGAAAGCATTTTTTATTCCTATGCACCTGAAATATCTGTATCACCTGAGAGAATGATATGAAGAATATTTACTGACTTCAGAAGAACTTCTTTCCTAAAGCAAAACCTTTCCATTTTTTTTCACTCAGAAAAATGGAGGTTAGACTTCCATTGAACTACTGACTAAACTGACATTTCTAGCTGATCAATAGGCAGCTTGATATGAGGATAATTTGAGGTTATAACCTTTGACCTGGTGCCAAAAATGGTTTTGCCAGATAAATGCCAAGAGGTAATTCTTTGTTAGGTTTCTATTTGGCATTGAAAAAGATATATTCCCAGAGCAATTCAAATGAAAAAAAAAATTAGCGTGGAAAACAACCTTTTCTCAGATGTTAGAAAACAACCTTATCCTGGAGCTGAGCTCTGCAGTTACTTCATTAGGCAACTGAATTGATATTACCTTGAATTTTCAAAATGGCTTAACCCAGTGAATATCTTGAGTTGGCTTCTCAGAAACCTCTCAAAAGAAGTTAGACCAGATAGGAAAAAAATAATGATCATATAATAATAACAAATTATATTATCTGTTTGTTAGCCATAGTTGCTTTAATTCATGACCAATGAAAAACCCTTTTGTTCCAACTCTTAATGTATGATATAGGTATTATGTATTAAAATTTACTAACAAATGTTTAATAAATTTTACATTTTTAAATTGAATCATTTTTCCTCTATTTGTAAAAAAAATTCTAAAATGACTTCTTTACATGAGAAAGTATCTAATATTGTGCTTGTCATTTGAAACATTGCGAGTTCATCCCTCACCAAGGGCAACATGAATTTTCCAACGAATATCTACAAATTACTACAAATTATAACTACAGTAACCCTATTCCATCAGTAATTCATAGGTAATTTCCTGACCACTGACAATCCATTTTCATTTAATTTTCAAAGTGCAAAATCCAGATTGTGTAATAAAACTTACAAAAACTAATTGTTAGCCCAAAATGGCAAGATTTGGTGCTTAATCATTAAATTTTGTTCACCACTTAATAGAAATACTTTACACCAACCTAATAAAACAGTAGTGATAGCATGATAATTATTTTCCAATTTGAACAATGTTTTTATCTTTGCATCTGTCACTTCTGATTTCTTTATTAAATGCATATAACCAATACAATTTTCAATGTAAATCTTTGCAGGAAATTGGAGCAAGAACAGTCGGACGAGATAACAAAAAGCGAACATTTATGGTTCCTGGTTGCCATCCAGATATTTCTCATGATGAAAACATGGTTAATGGTGAAGCAGGGTCAGGTATGTACAGACTAAGGTTCACCACACTGCCAATGTAGGACACTGTAGCAGAGCTAAGCAAATAAGACAAAATTATAATTACTGATACAAAGAATCAGACAACAGATTCAAATAAATAAAGAAATAATATCAATAAAAATATACATAAATAAATATAATTATTCATCTTGTTATGAATTAGTGGTAGTATTGACTTGCAGAAAATATCAATTGTAGTGACTTTGTGTTTCACTTGGTGTACCACAATTGTAGTTTGTGCTTGACTAAGCTGAGGGAATAATCAACACACACACACACACACATATATATATATATATATATATATATATATAAACTGTCTAAATTTGTTAAAGTTACACATTCTAGAAGTACATTATGGTTTCAGTAATGTTAGTTTGGAAGCATAAAAACAGGAAGAAAACCAATGTCAAAAATTAGGAATTACTTTAATTCTAGTTAACAAGGTTGAAATCAATTCATGATTGTGAGTAATCAATAACTATTTCATAGATTGTTTTTTAAAAAGATCAAAGACATTAAGAATTGATTGACACCACCAATTGGGCTGTAGGTGATCAAGATGACATCAACAAGTATATTGAAGATGATCAAGAAGACACCAAAGAGTAGGTTTTAAGTAACAGACACCAACAATTGAATTGCAGGTGATCAAGGACATATCAATAAGTATGTTGCAAGTGATTAAGAAGATACCAAATAGTGGATTGCAGGTGATCAAGAAGACATCAATGAGTGATTTGCAGATAATCAAGGAGACACAAACATGTGGCTTCAGTATGATGGGAAAAGCAATACAAATTTGTTATTAAATTAATACAATAGCTTACCTGAATATTAATTTTTATATATGGCCCATCCAAAGTTATTATGTAAATCACATAAACGTCAATAACTCAAAACATTCAGAACCAATATTTGTCAAATTTAAATTAGTTCACTTCAACCCTTGGTAAATCCCTGACTAAATTTTCAACCTATTTTAATGGTTATATTTTGAGATATTATTATTAATGTCTGCTACATAAACCAATTGTTTTAGGTGGCCCCACAAATAAAAATCCAAAGGACTGAGGTTGGGGGGAACATACAGACTATGGAACTGGTCCCCCCCTACCTATCCACCTTTCATGGTAGATGTCAGCCAGTGCATTGAGAACAATGTGACTAAAATGGGCTGTATTCCTATCATGCATGCATCTTTGTATTAGCAGGGGTACATCCTCTAACAGGTCTGGAACTGTGTTTGAAATAATGTCCCTGCAGACAGCTCCTGTAAGACATGCTGGGAGAACATATGGACCTACCCGGTAGTCATCTACAATTCCAACCCACACATTAATGGTAAACTGGTGCTGTTGTTTAACCTGTATTCTATTATGGGGATTCTGATCTGCCCACAAATGCTGGTTGTGTAAATTTGTTATTCCATCTCTTCTAAATGTTGCCTCAACCATAAACAAGACTGAAGAGACAAACAACAGATAAGTTTTTGTCCAATAAAACATTGGTAAAAGTTCTCCTGTGATGAGTGATCAGAGGGCAAGAGGCCCTGCACAAGTTGCAAATGATACGGATACAGGAGCTGCTCCTGAAGTTCTCTCGATGCAGTACTATGTGATATATGACATGCTAGGGCCACTTGACATGTGCTGATATCTGGATCACCTCCAACAGTCTGCAGAATGTGTTCTTTGTGGTCAGGTATATAAACAGATCTCGGTATTCCTTGATCCATAGTTTGTGGTTCCACAAATCCTGTCTCTGCAGCATGACGATAAAAAGCAGCAATGGTTGGATGACTTGGCTGCCTTCATTCTGGAAACGCAATCTCATGGCCATATGTAAAAATCATATCTACCTGCTCATGATATGAATATCCTGCCATTATTAAACAGAACACTTTTCAGTTAATTCACTACTACACATGTTAAATGTTGAAGACAGACTAACCAGAAATATAAATGAATGACAAATGCAACCTACTCTACATGGCGACACAGTGCTATCTACTGTAAACTTTCTTTAAACTTAACTCAAAAATGAAGGATTTGCAGACATATGCTTATATGGTCTTTTGTCCTTTTTTTGGTGTGAGGAACCTGCCCACCAAAGTTTGTAAAAGTATTTTTGATACATTCTCTCTTTCTCTCTCTTTACATATATATATATATATATATATATATATATATATATATATATATATATATATATATATATATATATATATGGTGGACTATCTCATCAATTTTGGTGTATGAAAACCCAACAGTTCTGTTTAGAACTGAATCACTAGACTACCCACACAGATGATTTGATTACAGTGATGAAGGCTTGTGCACAACCTGACACACTTTTTGGAAGAACTGATAATAGAGAAATGCAGGACAATACATAAAAAATATTCAAACAGCTCTCCTTAGTTTTGAATTCACTGTTTTCTTTCTCTTAGACTGGATGCCATCCAAGGCAGAAGAGTCTACTTTGGTCTGCTATTTAATCCAAAGCTAGTGGAAGATAGATTCATACCTTTCTCAAGAGCATTAGTGCAAAATGAATGAAACAGAATTAACAGGAACTTGAACTTTGCTCAGAATTGATATTTTCTGTGCTGATAACCATTACACTACTCAGGAATTCTTTCTCAACTTCTCTTAATTTATATATATGTATATATGCCTAAAAAAATATATATATATATATCCATAGGCGTAAATAGGTTTGCCTATCCTCCAGTTCACACTCCTTCCCAGTCTTTTGAACAGGAGCAGAGGTTTATCACATGTTTGTTGTTTAGGATTAGGTTTCCACTTCTTTCTAAAGTCTTTTCATTCTCTTTAACTTCCAGTAATCCCTTGCATTGTTATCTTGTTTGGGGTGAATTTATAAAACAAAAATAGCTTAAATTTGCTGTACTTTTATATATATATATATATATATATATATATATATATATATATATACTAAAAAAGAATGATGTTGGTGTGACCAACAGTCAACTGGCCAGAATACCTAACACTTTAGACAAGAAAAAATTTTGAACAAGGAAAAAAAAAGACCAAAAGGCAAACACCTACTTACTCAATGAAGTAAATTGCTCAATGCCCAGATTATCTAGACAGAGCAAAAATATTCTTTAGTAACAATGTTCAATTTCAAATTTGGTTTGAAAGGGCTCTGGTGAAATAAATTATTATAATGGTACCTTAAAGTGGTCTGTTTTTTCTTTAATATATATATATATATATATATATATATATATATATATTATAATATTTTTTGTTTATGATTTCTTCGCTACATAAGAGCTCTCATGTTTCAAAAATTAAGTTGAATTGAGGTGTTTAGTCCCGTTTCATCTTCAAGCAAAATTTTAGGAATAAGCTATCTCTTGGTTTACGTGTGTTTTTAGGCATGGTTCTAAATATTATAATATAAGCTCTACTTCTGTATGGAGCACTGCTTTCTTAAAAATAAAAACAAAAATACTAAGGAACTCCGGATTATGCACCCAACGTGTTCTTTTCTATTTTCTGCATACCTGCGCACTTATACATACATACATACATACATACATATATATATATATATATTCTCCTTATAATACATACCTCATATTATTTAAACTGGTTTACTCATTACACTTAGAAAGTATTTTGATGTTTCATTTCCAAGGCCCTGATTAATCCTTGTTAAACACAGGTTAACTATCATGATTCTCTAGTTAAAAAGCAATTCTCATACACCAATTTACCTGAATTTTCTTTTATATAACAAGTGTTTTCAGGATGCTGGTATTCCTTACTCTCCACAATTGCCTAACTTTGTTGCTTTGAATAACTTTTAGACTTTTTACCATCCTTCCTTGTTTCTGTTCTGACATTCATTCATACAAACTAGTTAAGTAGGTTACTTGTTGTTTTCCCCTGTTCATGTTAAGTTCTGTAAATGCTCTTTCCTTATTATGTAACACAGAATTTTCAACTATCTCTTTCTCATTGTATCAGTTTCTTTGTTGGTCTTACTTCCTGAAAACTTTCTTGTTGCTCACATGTGTTGCCCATAGTATTCTCAGTATTAATCAGTAGAACCATATCTCTAATGCTACAAGTCTCTTCACCATCTGTGAGGAGATTGTCCAGCATTTACTGCCATAGAGGAGAATAGACATGACTAGCATAGTAAGGTCAACAGATCAACTCTCATTGCTTTTTGCCAAACTAAGTGATGCTCAGGAATATATTGTAATCATGTTTTTCCATTGTCATTCATCTTTATATTAATTCCTGATCACTGAAAATTCATTTATTCCTGATTTTCAATATAAAACAAATTGATTACCAAAACACTTTTCACAAAAATGTGCAAAATTCATTGAATAAACCATCAAATACTATTTTTCATTGCTTATGTTCTCTAACTCTGACTTTCTTAAACTCTCCTGGAGAGAATGGTTTACAGCTTTAATATGCTTGGTGTTGCTGCTGCAGTTTCTGTAAGAAGTAATTTTTTTGCAGTTGTCAGCCCCATGCCTAACCAACTTTGAATTCAAAGGCCACCCTGCTATTTAACTCATAGCTGGGAGTTTGTGCAAGAGTGAGTGGTATGAACTTGACCATAATTTGAACTTGGCCCACTAACCATTACATTACCCACACATCTATTGCTTACAATGCACAGACAACTTACACCCATTTATAGCCCATGAAACAACCTTCAGTTTATTGCACTAAGACAAAGGCTTACTAAGATTGAGCTCTGAGAAATACATTTTTTGAGAAAAATTGTCCTTTCTACCAATTGAGTATGCCTCTGGAGTTTACATTTTGTGTAAACTTTCTAACAGAACAAAAATAAATATTAAATGGTCAACATTCTGAATTAATATCATATTTACTGTATCTTTTCATACAGTAAATGAGTAACAGAAAGTTTGGTACCTGCTTAACTTCTATATATGCTTTTAGTATTTGCTATGTCAAAATTAAGAAATTTTGATATATATATGATATAAAAATTCTACCCATGAGATCATGGGTAATGTCAACAAACTGTATTAAAATAATTTACTATAAATTTCTATTGCAAAATAATTTACCATGAATTTCTATATGTGTTTTTAGTTTTTGCTGTGTGACTATATATGCAATTATTATAGAGGATGGATCTTTATGGATTTGTTTAATAAACCTGTTATATATGTAATAATTAGAGAGAATGAATGTTTTGATCTGTTAATAAATCATACTTGAAGTTACATTCCTAGCATTTGAAAAGTATTAATATTTATTTGTGTTTTCTCCTTTTTTCTTGCAGATCAATACTCTTCCCAGTATTCCCTGTCACGACCAGTTCTTCCTGAGCCCCTGCAAAACACTCATAGAAAACTCATTCGCCAAAGATTCTCCTGCCCTGGAGATTCCAATATTCATCAAACATATTTTTACCGGCCGGGCTATGGTCCGATACCTTACAGACGTACTAACCTGAGACCTACCACAGTGAACGGTGTGATATTTGATACCCGCTCGCTGCCTCACAATCTATCATATTTCCGAAACCCCACTTCTGTCCTTCCGCAACTGCCTTCTGTGTCCCGTTCAGACTACGCTGGCCAGGTTTCAGGTTCGGGGCACTCCGTATCCCTTCCAAAGTGCTACATTCTAGAACTTGACTCACAGACAACACCACCACAGGTACCGCACCTAGAGTACTCCGGAGGGGTAGAACATACGGAGGACATAGCTCGACCTAAATACTACGTTCTCGAACCCAATTCCCAGAGTCCTTCCCCTGTGCCACTTATAGAATACTCTGGACAGATTCCCAGATCAGAGGAATTGTCAGTGCCCAAGTACTACGTTTTGGAACCTGGATCACCCACACCACCACAAGTATCTAAGTTAGAGTACTCAGGCCAAGCGGCACATTCTGAAGATGTGTCACTTCCCAAATACTATGTGCTGGAACCCAACCCCCAGACCCCTCCCCAGGTGTCTCAGCTTGAGTATGCTGGGCAAGTTTCACATTCTGATGATCTTTCTCTTCCCAAATACTATGTATTGGAGCCAAATTCACAGACCCCACCCCAAATAGAATATTCAGGGCAGATGGCACACTCAGATGAGCTGGCATTCCCAAAATATTACGTTTTAGAACCAAATCCCCAAAAGTCGCAACAAGTACCACATCTTGAGTACCCTGGGCAGATGGCAGCAGCAGCAGCAGCATCACTACCAAAGTACTATGTTCTAGAACCAGACCTACCACCCCCACCACCAGTACCATGTCTTGAATATCATGGTTCTATGACACACTTAGAACAATTACCCCTCCCCGAGAATTTCATCCTTAACCCAGACTCACAGACCCCACCACAGGTACCCTGTCTCGAGTATCCTGAACAGGTACCACGTTTAGAGGACTTACCACTTCCTGATGAATCTCTACTTCAACCTGACCCCCAGTCGCAGGTACTCTGCTTAGAGTACCCTGAACCACCACCTCCATCAGAGCCAGCTGTATCAGTGCCAGACACACAGTATAACACTGCGGATGATATACACCCAGTACACCCACCCAATTTCAAGTCGCAGAGAAAACAACGTTGATATAAATTTCATGGACTCTGTCACAAGTAATCTATTTAAACATCTATATAAAAAAACACACATTGTTATCAATACTCTGTTGCAACAGACAATGGAGTGTTACTGACTTCAATTTTTTTTTTAAATTGACTGTCTAATCATCAAAATAAAAATGAAAAAAGAAAATAAAAATAAAGCTCATTATTAGTAAAAAATAATGTCTCCATTATATCTTACCTTTTCCTGTATTGAAAAAAAATGTAATACTTTAATCTGTTTTAGGGATAAAGTAAAAACAAAATCATACATACTTTTTCCCCACTCTTTCCCCAATCAATTTTTACAATTTTTTTTGTTTCTTTAAACTCTAACCCACCCCATCCCTCCCCCGGTTTAAAGAAAAAAAGAGAGAAAAGAGAAGAGGAAAGGATAAAAAAGACACAAAATAATAAACAAAAAGAATGTTAAAATAAAAAAAAAAATTTTTTAAATTATTACCACCAACACCACGAAGACATTTTAAAAATTTTTAAAATGACAATGAAAACTTTAAAAATAAAAAATATGAAAAATAATAAATAACAACAATAAGGACAAAAAAAATTTAAAAAAATAATCCAATGCTTACGGGGGTGGGAAAAGTGTTGAAGCTAGCAACAGGGTGCACATTTGTTCATATATGGTTTACAAAAAACAAAAACAAATAAAAAAGAAAAAGAAGTAAAAGAATTGTGTAAATGACATTTTAGATGAATAAATGTATGGATGTATCATTACCATTATTATTATTATTATTATTATTATTATTTGTTTTTACTATTTTAATTATTACCATTGTTATTATTATTATTATTATTACAATGTTTATTACTGTTCTTATTTTCTTCATTATTATCAACATCATTGTTGTTAACATGATTACTGTTAATTTGTTCCCCTCTTCCTGTAATTATTAATCTTCACAGTTGACTCTTGAAAGAAAAAAAACAAAACAAAAAAAATACAGCTATAACAAACCACATTTGACACCTTACTATTGTCATTGTCACAACCTATTTCCTTCCTCGTTTCTTCTATCATTCTTTGATTTTTAAAAAAATTAAAATAATAAAATTGCAAATGAATTTTTTTTCTTTTTTTGGTGGGGTAAATGAATGAAATAAAAGATAAAAAATTGATATATTAATAGTAATAAGGTATCAAAACAGATTAAATTTGGAGAAAAGGGAAAAATTATCGTAAAGCTGACTGAAAAACAGTAATCTGAAAATAACTTTATGTGTGTGCTTGAAAGAGAGATAACCAGGTAAGAATAGACTGAGATAGAACACATTTGAGAAAATGGTAAAAAACAAATATATATATAAATGTACATGTATATATGAAAAGACTGATAGATAAATAGATATGAAAACACACACAACCATATATATAAAAGATTTTGTTTCACCCAAAGAATACAGTTGACCAGGGCATCAAGTCAATCATGGCAAAGTAAAACTTATAGTAGGGACAAGATAAGTGAACCTTAGAGAGAGAGAGAGAGAGAGAGTCAGTAAGTTAATAGAAGTTCAGTTGACTTATCTTTCAACCAATTTCAAAGTTTTACAGAACACCACTCATCAGAAACAGATCCTCAGAAAAATCTAATGAATTATTATCAGCTATCATATTTATGCTCTACATAAGAAATGCTAATCATCAATTTGAAATTTCTACTATTCTAGAGATTGTTAAGAATGTAGCAACATTTAAATATTCAGAAGAAATAAAATATGACAAAATTATATTTAAAATGCTCAAATATTTGTATCTGGATTATGAATTTTAATATAAATTTGCTGTATAATTTCATAAAAAAAAGAAAATGAAATAAAATCAGTAAATTCACATATGAACATTTCAGAAAATGAATTCAGAAAATTAAACACTTAAATTATAATAATATTCAAAACTACTGATTATTTATCTGTTTATTTTAAATTACTTTGTTCATTATACCTAAATCGATTGAACTTTTATTAATTTATTGACTATTGTTGTTCTGTTGAGCACTTTCTTGATAAAAATTCTTCTCAGACTGAAATATGTTAAATTCTAGTAATTCTCATAGATGTTACTGATTTGTATTATATATATATATATATATATATATATATATATATATATATATATATATAAACCACTACTCCTGTTCAAAAAACCAGGGAGGAATGTGAATTATATATATATATATATATATATAGTAGTGGTTTGTTCTTTGTTTCCTGTTTAGGATTGGGTTTCTGGTTCCTTTTAAAGTATTTTGTTCTCTCATTCCCAGTAGCCCCTTGCATTTTAATAGAATTATCACATTGATTAAAAAAAAGATAGATAGAACAATTCTGAAAGAACTATCAAAAAAAAGATATGGAGATATATATAAATTGTCCATGGAGATATTAAAAGCTAGTAGATAAAAAGATATGAAAAAATACACACACATACATACATACATACATATATATATATATATATATATATATATATATATATATATATATAGATAGATAGATAGATAGATAGATAGACACACAAACACAAAAATATATGGATTCATAAAAGGTGTAGTCAAAGATACATAAGTAATAAATTTAGGTTTACTAAACTTGCCCTGCCACTGCTTGTGGCAAATTTAATCATGAAAATTAACATTTTCAAAATGCAACTGCAACCAACATTGGTACAATTTTCAAGATATACTTGGAGTTAAATGATAAATATACCATGGGAATTTTTACTGAAAAGATGTTTTTATTAGAAATATTATACTGGAACAAAAGTGTGTAGTATTTTACAATAGGTGGCATTTGAACATTGATTTTGTTTCACATGTGACCAAAACTTATAAAATATATACTTATTCTGAAATGTGACATTTCAATCTGCCTTTCTATATGATTTGTATATAGATTAGGAATTTTAAATGGCTTTACTTTAAAAGTGAAAATGGAAGAAAATCAGATGCTTTTTTAGTATTTGATGCTCTTTTATTTCTAGAAAGGAAAAACATTATAAAAAAGCATTGTCATTTATGGAGATGGTGTCATAGCTGAGAGTATTGTCTGTAAGTACTTGGCTAGGTTCAGAAGTGGAAATTTTGATCTGGAAAACCAAGAATATTCTGGCAGGATTGCAATCATTGATGATGACCAAATCAAAATGATGATTAAAAATAATCAGTCACATCACAGATGTTATCACAGAAATGCTCCACATATGTCATATAAGAACTGTAAGGCATTTCAAAACACTGGGAGGTGTGAATCATTATGATGTTTAGGTGTTTCATGACTTATTGGAAAAACTTTAATAGATCACGTTTCCATCTGCAACTCAAATGCAACAAAAACCACATATTTTCAAAACTAGGTTTCTTGTGTGTTTTGTTTTTTGTTTTTTTTTCAGGCAGTAAAAAATGGATTACAATGTCGAGTGGAAAAGGTCCTAGAGAAAATGAAATGACCACTCCTGGAGGAAAATAAAATGAGCTACCTAAATCCAGTCTGTTTCCAAAGAAGATGATCCTGTATATCTGGTGGAATTAGAAGGGCACTGTGTATAAGCACCTTTTGCAAAACCAGAAATTGAATTCAAACATGTACTGTTCCTCATCTGGAGTGATTAAAGCCAGCAACCACTGAAAAGTGTTGGGGATTGTCGCTATATACACCCTACCTTCCACTTTCAGATTACCACTTATTTTGATCCCTATAAAATTCTCTTAATGGGAAGAATTTAAATTCTCTGGAAGCCTGTAAAAACCACTTATACCAGTTCATTATCCAGAAAGATGCTAAGTTCTCAGAGGATGGAATCATGAAGCTGCCTAAAGATTGCAAAAGATCATGGAACAAAATGGCACATATGTGATTAAATATATCTATGTAAAAATATGTAAATACTGTCTTTGAAAGTCACTTAAAAAAAACAATGAATGCTTGTTCCAATCCAATATATACAATAACTTATTTGATGGTGTGAGATTTTATTATGCAACTAAATAGTTGTCCCATATATGGTGAGTAAATAAATAAATATTATAGTATAGTTATTGATATTTATTTTTTGATTTCAGTTATATAAAGATTGTTATAGTTTGTTTGAAATATATAACCTCTAAAGAGAAAAAGTTAATATAAAGTTACATTGAGTAATGGGAAAACAATGTTGGAAAGATATCCTATAACAATAAAAAACATTGAAAACATTGGCAAGGAAAAACTAGCTTTAAGAATCTAATAAAATAGGCCTGAGAAAAAATTAAAATGGTTATAATCAAGAAAAGTGGATCAACTATCAATAGAATATTTGAAGAAGCTGGTATTGCAAGTATAAACAGAGAAAAGTCACAGAATATTAAAACATTGGCTGAAGACATGAAAGTAACCAAATTAACACCTTTAAGAAAACATCACAAATAAAAACATCTAATTTGGGTGAAGAAGTACATGAAAACTGACTTCTAAGTAGTAATTTTTTTGCACTGAATGTAAAGTTACACTGAATAGACCTGATGGTTGAGCAAGAGGTTGGATCCTTCATGGAAATAATCAAACAACAACAATAACAGGTGGGAGGTTGTGTAATGCTAATATTGTAGGCAATAAAATTATAGCTCTTAAAGGAGATAATGATAGTATTAAGATAGATGCAGAGAATTACTCTGTTCTAAGTTCTAATATGTATGGGTCACAATCAAGAAGCTTTTAGCCGAAGAGTATATTCATGCAAGATAATGCTCCTTCACATTCTGTAAAATTGACTATTGCTCACTTTGCAAAAAAAAAAAATTTTTAATTTCAAAGACCCCAAATTAATAGAAGAGTCCTTAGCCTTTTCAGATATTACTTCAGTAGAAAACTTGTAGTTTATCATTAAGAGATGCAAAAAAAAAAATTCAATCAAATAAATATTTGAGAAGCAATAAAAACTACTGTATTTTGAAGTCAAAAGTGCAGAAAAGTTAAAATTAATGACAG